ATCATGTCTTTTTGCAGCAACATGGATGGAACTGGAGGTCATTATCTTAAGTAAAATAACTCAGAAACAAAAAGTTGAATACTGCATGCTCTCACTTATAAGTGTGAGCTAACCATGAATACACATGGACATACAAAGTGGAATAATAGACACTGGAGTCTCCAAAAGGTGGAAGAGTAGTAGGGAAATGAAGGCTGAAAATTACCCAATGGTTCAATGGTAACTATTCAGGTTATGGGTACACTACAAAGCACAGACTTCAAACAAATGCAACATATGCATTCAAGAAATCTGCACTTGTACTCCCTAGATATTTGAAAATAATAATAACTTTTTAAAGCTGTCTAGAGTTGGAATGCCTTATAATTTTTGCCCCTGGGATAACTCTTACTCCTCTACAGATGACTCATGAAGACTGGTCCCAGGGCTTTCCTTCCTGGCAAACTCCACCAGTGAGACCAGCAATATGGGTGTAAAAAAGCCATTGTTGGCTTCCCTCCCACCCATTCAGCATCTTCCCCCTCACTCACAGATGACAAAACCAAAGCTTTGTTTAGGCAAACTGTTACATTTCTGACCTCCTAGTCTCCAACCAAAACTCTAGAACTGGAGAAAAAAAATCCCTATTTTCCCATTATTTTTTGTATATCCAAGTCAACATTTATTTAAAATATCCAAACACTGTGTTGGTATATTTTTCTCTCACCCAGATTTCTACCCGTTATTGAACACTCTACCCTTCTATCAGCAGCACATTCAACATGTCCACTTCTTTATTTACTACCCTTCTTTTTTCTATAAATGAATTCATTTAATTGAAATATTTTTGGGATATCCAATTAATGCTGCACACTGTGCAAGATGCTGGGAATACAAAGACAAAAATGTGATTACAGTTTGGATTTCTCCACTAGATGTAAATAAATGAAACACAATCTGGACATTCAGGATCATGGAACTCTGTGCTAGACACAGTTGCAGCCTGGAGTAAAGATCTTCAAAGCCTTTCTCAGATAGTGGGGAGAAGCTTCATGAAGACAATGGAGATTGGGCTGATCCTTGTGGGGCAAGCAGGATTTCAATGGGAGAAGAGGGGAGGAGGCAAGTATTTTGCGCCAATGTGAGTCAAGTTAGAAATATCCTGGAGGGTCTGGGATTCATGGAGAATGAGGCAGATTATGTCATGAAGTGGGGTGGTCAGAGGTGTGGCTGAACTGATGGGCAAGGGCCAGACCAAGCATTATGTTCCAGTCTGAATTTTCACCTGTAGGCAGTGGAGAGACATGGAAGGGAATTGTGCAGTAGAGTACTGCAATCTCCATGATTACATCCTGCTTTAGAGAGATCCCTTTGACAGGAGGACAGCGGATACACAGAAATGAGGTCCAAGAACAGGCAGCCCCTGAGTAAGCAGGGTGAGTGGGTAAGGATTAGAGAAGGATAGATTTGACAGATTCTAAGGCCTTGGAAGCAATAGGACTTAGTCCTCACTAAATATGAGGTGATAGTTTGACTTTGTGAGAGGGTACATAGTTGGTAAACTGAAGATGAAAAACACCCCATATTTCTACTTCACTTTGGTATTATCTCACCTGAGAGAAGAGGTTATGGATAGAGGGAAGGATCTACCTGGGCACAGGCAACTTCAGCAGATGTTGAGCATAGGAGAGATGCTGGTCTTTCATTTTACACTGCTCAACCTGACCCCTGCCCCTTCTGACTTCATGCTAGCCTATATCAATCTTCACCTTCCTTCACTCCTGACTTTGTTGCCCAGGTCATTCTAATTTTCAGTAGCTCTCATTTTTACACAATGACATATGACAGACAATGTACTGTCTCTGTTATATAGCACTTCTGAAGCAAGGGAATAGACACCTACTTCTTTACTGGCAAGTGGTCAAACACACAGTGGTCTGCTCTCTATGAATACCAGACTCCCCAGCTGGCTTGAACTTCAGCCCATGAGAAGAGGAATGAGAACTGATGGAGCACCAGAGCCAAGTCCAAGGACGTGTTGGCGAAGGGGGCACAAATATGTGCCATGTGGACAACCACTAGCCTTGGAGGTTGGGAATCAAAGATGGTTACCTGGGCCAGACCCATGCTCCAGCCAGCCCAGTCTCTTCAAAGTCTCTTCTAACGTGTCCCAGCAGTGAAAGGGAATATTTGTACTACCTAGAGAAGAAAGAGAATCTGGGGGCAAGTTGAGTCTCTCAGACAGAAAATACTAGAGAGAATACATTTTCACATTAAAGCAGGTTGGACATCCCTATTTTGCCTTATGGAGATTTGGAAAGGTATCCAGGTGTGGAATGTTTTAGGCTCTTTGGGCCTCTTCCATTCATTCATTTATGAAAAGTTCCAGTTGAAATATAATAACAGTGAAGGCACCTGACCAGGAATCAGTGAGGTTCTCTGAATTCAGCAGCCAGGGCTGATTATCCAGAGTCAAGCTGAATAGGAGTGTCCTGGCTGCTGCAGCTAAAACCCTGTTGTCAGTCCCAGAAAACTGCCAAAGCAACTGCTGCTAAGACGTCTCCCAGCTGCTGTGCCTTCAGCCTCCAGTGAGAAGGGGTGGGTTAACTCTTGGAATACGGTTCCTAATTCAGTCCTTTAATTTCTCTTGGACACTCCCTTGGATTTAGAACTGAACATAATGCTGTTAACCCTGTGACCCCAAGGTAGTAAGATATATTCACAGCATTCGAGAGAGTTAGGGCTGGAGTTGACTTCATCATGACGTACCCAGGACCTTTATTTTACAGAGGAGAAAGCTACAGCCCAGAGAAGTGTTGTGACTCATTCTGTGAGCTAAGAACTGTGCCCTGGCCAAGTAATGCTGCCATAAACAAAAATGAGTGATCCAAACATCATCTAAAATATGTGTTTTTGTTTATCCAGGATTTTACTGTAGACAGAGGCGGGGAAGGGCTGCATCTGAAAAATGCACCCAAACCCAACACTGATATAGTCCATAGTGGAGCAATATGCCTTCCAACTAATGCAATACATAGAGAATTAGTTAAGACTAATTCTCGCTGCTCTGAATTCACGTTCACAAAATATTTTGGGCCACTAGATTCTGAGGTTTCTTGATGGTAAAACAGAAGTTTTTTGGGAAATAATATAAATCCCTAGAGGTAGGTCTCCCATTGTAACCTCATATTCATTGCACATCAGGCATTTGTGGGTTTGGTAAATGTAAATCACTTTCCCCAGAGTGGGATGTCCCCTGTGTCTGCTCTTCTGCAAGGGTGACCCTATGGGTTCTGTCTGAAGGAGTCAATAGATCTCCTTACTCTGCTGTAAGATAACAAGCAGCAGATAGTTTCTCTTGTCTGATGAATGTTAGGTGATTTTAGTTAGTGTTGTTTCAAAAAAAGTCATGAGTGGGTATTTATGCCTCATGCACCACCAACCGTGAAGACTGGTCATATATAAGGAGTCAGATCATAGAATCTCATTCTTTATACAGTAGGTGGTTTGTCTTCAGATGCCCCCAGGGCCCCATTTTGTGCCCTTTCTTCTTCCAAGTGATCCCCCCTTCTCTCTTCTTCCTGTGATCAAGGTTCTGGTATGTTTTCTTATTCTTCCTTTCCTAACAAAGCTTCTCTCAGAAAGAATTTTTGTGAAAATGCTTTGGGGGCAATTTCTGACCTTTGCCCCTCTCTGCCCCTGGCTTTATTTAGGTCAACCCTTTTTATGCCCATATACTACAACAGCACTGCAACTGGTTTCACCGCCTTCACTGCTGTCCGATTTATCTTCCTAAAGTTCTCATCAGGTCACTTCCTTACCCAAATATATTCAGTAGCTCCTCATGTATACAGAATAGAGTCTAGAATTCTTTATCTATCATTCAAAATCTTGCATGATCTGGACTCAGAAGTTCTTTCCAGTCTCATCTCCTCCTCTCCCTTCACTGGCCAGCACATCCCTCAGAGTTCTTCCATGTTTTCCTTACACACCCCTCAACTTCCTGACTTCACACTCTCACTCTGCCTGGGATGTTTCTTCCCCAAATCCCATTTCCATTTGTCTAAGTCTTTCCCATCTGTAACAGTTAAGATTAGTTAGGAACAACAGAGATCAAAGATAATAGGCTTAACCAAGATCAGAGTTTATTTCCCATGATACAGATGTTTGGAGACCCAGGCTCTTTCCAGGTCATTGCTCCATCATCTAACACATCCATGCCAATGGTTCAAAATAGAGACTAAAGTTCCTTTCATCTTATCTATATTCCATGAATCAGGGTACAGAAGGGACCCAAAAAAGAGAGGAAAAGGGTACATATTAGCTGTCTTCTAGAGATGGTTCCTGGAAACTGCCACTTTTAGCAGTTTGGCTCTCTTGGAGCTTAGTCATGTGGTTCACATCTAGCAGCAAGGGAGGCTAGGAAATGTTTTTATTCTAGACCATATTCCTAGTTTAAAATTGGGATTTCTATTACTATAGAAGAAGAGAACTGATATTGGGAGACAACTGTCAATATCTGCTGCACCATGGTTCAGGGTTACTTATTCTATCTAACCTTTTCTTCCACACCCAACCTCCTCCATAAGCCTTTTTTCCATTTCCTAAACTCCTAGAATAGTTTATCTGACTTGCCATGTTGGCACATGATGCTTCCTACCCTCATATGACCACTTATTTCCTTTTTTTTTTTCCTGGTGACAAAAGCATCTTAATTGTCTCTCCTTCAAACGACCAAGAGATTCAAGAGAAATGGCAAGTCCTGTATTTACAAAACCTTTGAAAATCACACTAATAATCAGTGAATGCAAGCAAATGCACAGATCTGCATTTCCAACTTTTTCCACCATGATTCTACATCAAGGTAAAAAAAAGATTCTTTTGTACAAATCCAAGAAGGATGGAGAGAGAGGTGGCAGCACAACTGCCAAAGATGGTACACTGACTCATGCCTGAAGCTGGTGATAAGACACAGGGGAAGGTGAGCAGAGTCCTTGAGAGAGAACCCTGTCGTGAAGGGCTTAGTCGATGGTTGACCTCCGGTACCAAAACCGTGCTCTGAAGTCATCGCTGCACATCATGAATCCAGGGTTGGTGGGCGAGTGCACGATGCAGCGCACGATGTTGTTGTGCCCCAAGGAGAGCAGGTTTCTTCGCTCAGCCATCCTTGAGTCCTAGCAGCACAGACTGATTGTCCTTTCATCAGGCAGTAACACATAGTCCTTGGTGTGGTTAAACACGGCCTGTGTCCGATGCACCTGCCGTCCACTCAGACCCGCGCCCATGTATCTGACCAGTGTTCTTCCTGTTGATATTTCCCAAAGTTTAGCTACAGAGTCTTTTCCACTTGAGAGAATATATTTAGAATTTTTGGAAAAAATTGCAGAACAAACTCTAGCACCGTCATGTGCTTTCTCAAAAGTTGTGAAGCATCGATTTGAAACACCATCCCATAATTTGATGCAGCCGTCCTTGCTTTCAGTTACATACATATTGGCACCAGGATTGTAATTCATGGAACATATTGCATCAGGGTGTTGATCTTGAGGATTGCAAGAGGCAAAACACTGAAAGGTGTTGATGTCATAAAGGTGAAGAGTAGGATGCTGAGTTCCAACAAGTATAAAGTCTCCAGAAGGATGAAAAGAGACGGAGCGTAGCATTTCAGCCTCCAGGATATATTTGAAGGCTCTTTCTGTGGATGGTTTGGAATAATCAAATAATTTAAGAGTATAATCCCTTGACCCAGAAGCCAGGATCTGTTCTGTTGGGTGGAGAGCGAGACATATGACTTCATCCACGTGGTCATAAAGAGTTTGAATCACTGGGTGGTTTTCCATATTCTGTTGTGCAGTCTCATTCATCATGACCTCTGCTGGCATGGTACTTTTGGCCAACATTCTCTCTGGGTCAAGTATCTTTATGGAAGCATCAGCTGACCCAGTAGCTATTAACTGCCCATCTCTACTATAGGTAGCCACACAACATAGTCCTTTATGGGACGTGACATAGTACATTTCATACTCGGAAGCCTCTGGGGACATTGTCTGTACATCTGCATCAAACTCCAGGTCAATCCTTGTGCCAGGGGCAACTGTATCTGAATGACCAATTGCATACTGAACTGCAGTATCATCACTTTTCATTCCTAGTTTGATGAGATGCAGGAGCTGCTTGGAGGGTGCACAGTCAGACTGTGGCTTAATTTCATTGATAAGGCCATTAGCAATGCTGATGTAGCCATCGTAGAGCAACTGGCTAATGATCAGCTTGTAGAGCTGCTGGCGGTCCTTCAAGCCCACTTTGGTTCTGTACATCTTGAAGAAGAGGAAGACACTCTCCTGTGAGCAGCTGGTCCTGCCCTCTCGGTCTCCCGCTCCCTTATTTTCTTTTATTATGTCCTATGACATGGATCCTTGTGGTGGTCCCATGTGGATTAGTCTTTGCCACGGATCCCATGTGGTCATCTGTATGGCAGGACTCTGTACTTAAATTCTTAATTTATCTGAATTTCTCCCATCCTCATCCTGAGGGCCTACAATGGTCCACAGTTTCCTGGCTCTTGGCAAAATTTCATTCTGATCCATTGTCTATGAGCATTCTTAATAGCATAGATCTAATTTTACTTTCAGATTCTCTCTCTCTCTCTCTCTCTCTCTCTCTCTGAGCTCTGATATATGTCTATGTGTTGCACTGGGGGATAGATTTGAGTAACGCCTGTACAGATGTGCCCTTCCTTCCAATGCTTGGAAGGGACTTTATTATACCTGGCTCCTCATGCCTTAGAATGGGCACCCTCGCCAGAGGCCCTTCAGGCTCTTGTGAAAATACTCTCGCCAAGGTCTACCCCATCCCTCTTACACAGACATGTCTGGATTCCATTTTAGGCTCGTAAGCAGTTACATAATCATAAGCTGTTACATAAATAATCAAAGACTGTTATATAAACAATACCCTAAGCCTCTAGTGCTGTGCATATACACAGTGTGATAAACATTTGAGGGTAATTACTCTTCCTATTTACCAATTATCTGGATCATTTGGTCAGGCTTAATGCATACCAGTTTTTGAAATGCAAGTGGATATAGAATCTCAGTCGAATATACATCTAATGACAGTGGAGGAGATCTGTCATAAGCAAGTAAATAGGAACCTTGTCATGTGAAGAGGAAGCAAGGGGAACTGGTGAGAGGCAGGCAGAAAAGTCTTTTCTGTCTTCAAACAAAAATGATTTCCAGAGTCTCTTAGGTCTCATGAATGATAAAAAAGAAAAAGAAAAGTGACAAATTTTTGTCTAGACCCAAACATAAGAGGTTTCCAATGTGATCAGAAAGAAGGACATTTGGTTTCACCCTTTAGACTTTAGGCAAAAAGAAGCATCTTTGCTACAAGACTAGACATGTCTTGGAACTTGAACAAAGAAGGATTTTTTTAAAAATAGTCAATAGCATCCTCTATTCTGTACATCAGTTCTTAGCCTCACAACTTAAGGGTAAGACCCTCATTTTACAGATGAGGAAACTGAAGGCCAGAGAACATAACTGGATTTACCCTGGACAAATAAACCTAGATTTTAGATTTGAGGTCAAATCTATCTGACTACAGAGCCAGTGAGGTTTCTGTTCCTGCATAACCATTTGGGTATTTGAATAAATCCCTTGTAAACAAGGAAGAGCCTTCTGGAATGCACTCAGATAGGCTGAGTAAGAGCTGGTGGGCAACACTAGAGAGAGGCCACTGGGGCGAAATGGTCTACTTGTTGAGTGATGAACACCAAGGGTAGGTTTGAGCGGAAACCTCGAGATCTGACATCAGGAGGCTGTAGAGAGGTTTGCATTAGTAAGTTGGTTTCTAACTCTCCACCGACTCCAAGATTAAACCAAAAGTTCTTCAGCCAAAACGAAAGCAAGTTGCTCATGAAGAATGTAGGTGGGAGAGTGGACCTAAAAAGTCAAGGAAGATTTCACACCAGTGAATGTCCCTAAAACCTCTGAAATATACCCTTAAAAGTGATTGAGATTGTAAATTTTATGTTATGTGCATTTTATCACCATAAAAAGTCAGTAAAAGAAAAGTGATGACTGGGCTCGGTGGCTCAGTCTGTAATCCCACGCTTTGGGAGGCAGAGGTGAGTGGATTGCCTGAGCCCGTGGGTTCGAGATCCACCTGGGCAACTTGGCGAGCCCTCATCTCTACAATAAATCAAAAAATTAGACGAGCGTGGTAGCGTGCGCCTGTAGTTCCAGCTACTTGGAAGGCTGAAGCGGAAGGATCGCCAGAGCTCAGCAGGAAGAGGCCGCGGTGGCCGGGAGCGTGCCACTGCACTCCAGTCTGGGCGACAGAGTGAGACACCAACTCAAAAAAAAAAAAAAGAAACGTGACAAATTTTTGTCTAGACCCAAACATAAGAGGCTTCCAATGTGATCAGAAAGAAGGACATTTGGTTTTACCCTTTAGACTCTAGGCAAAAAGAAGCATCTTTGCTACAAGACTAGATATGTCTTGGAACTTGAACAAAGAAGAATTTTTTTTTAATAGTCAATAGCATTCTCTACCCATCCACTGAGCTCATGGATCTAGCTCTGTGATATCTGGCTACCCTGAGTCCCACTTGCCTTGTAAGTCAAAGGTTGGTCCATCAGGCCTTTAGTTATATTATTAAAAACAACAGCTAGCATTTCTTAAGTGCTTACTACCTGTGAGGAGGCACCCTGATAAGACTTGTGCTTGCCTGACTCAGGCTGAAGCGCTCAGGGTTAGCATTACAGAGGAGACAGTTGGGCTTCTAAGAAAGCGTGGGTAAGGATGGCGAAGAGAGGGCCCTGGGGAGGCTGTAAGCCTGATCATTGACGGGGGGGTGACATGCTGCCTTTCTGGATAGTCTCTGAATGTGAGTGAACTGTATATTCAGTGCTCTCGTTAGTTGGAGACTGATAACAGATCAAGAAATCATTTAGACAGTATGAGTTTTCTGTTTAAAGTCAAGTTCATTTTTTGGCTAGGATTCCTTCAAATAATTCAAAGAACTGGGACTTTGCTTTCATAAATCTCGTGTTCTTACCTGCCAAAAATATTTGCATTTATGAACAGCGGTCATGTCCTTGGAGAGCAAATAAGCAGAGTTACAGGAATAGACAAGCATTTGCCTTGGTCATGAGAAGGGCTTTTTTGGTTTGTGTTTTTTTCCCCACTTCCATCCCACCTATCCTAGCCTCTCATTGCTGGACCCTTCGGTTATAGTCAAAGGTTTTCTTTCCTGGACTGCCTACTATCAGCTTCTCCAGATCTCAACCTAGACATTCAGGTGCAGGAATGTCTTCCTCAAATGCTATTTCCATCATTAACTTTTCTTGTTTAGAAGCCCAGTATTTTCACCCTCAGATCCCACTTCACCCTCCTCTCTCATTCCTGCCCATCTCTTACTGTGCCCATTAGCACCAGCCAAGCCCATCTCATTAACAACCACCACAGACAACTGGTCTTTTCTGGCATCTGTCTTTTGTCATGAGTCATTTCCCCCATTATAAAACCTCCTCCCTCTTCGTCAATTCAGGCCACCACCTCCTGCAGGCCCCAGCTCACGCCATTAGGAAATGGTCCAAAATAGCTATTTGAGTATTGGTTTGTTGTGCCCAGTGTTGTTCAGTCCAGAGACCTTCAGTCTCACCATCTCCAGAAGGAAAAATGTCTGGTTTCCTCTCAGCACAGGATCACCTGGCTGTGCAGATGAAGGAAGAAATTGGGAGGGGTGTATCAAGGGTTCTAATTTCTTCTTAAACAGCTTTTCAAGAGATATTCTCTATTTTGATCTCCACTTCTAGAGGCACGTGGTGCCGTCATTCCTGAGTCTTTGGAAGGCTCTGCAGTATAAATTGAACAGCTTTTCGTTTTCACTTGTGGTTAACAGTGAGTTTTCCACATCTGCTAAATCAGTTACTATTCATTCGTATGCTTTCTACCTTCCAAAACACTGCTGCAACTGACTCCTCCCTCATTTTCTTCATCTGCACAGTTTTCTGCCTTTTTTTTTCCTTTAACCCCTCTGTTTTAGATTGACAGAGTTTCATGACCCTGCCTTCCTGAACTAAGAATCCCAAGAGGCCATTTGTCCCTTGCTCTTTCTCCCTTGAATGTATCTGTCCTCCTCATCTATATGATAGACCTTTGGTCACTGTGTCTGCCACTTTGGAATGCGACTCCTGAGACAGACACAGAAATGGATATTTAACTGATTCCCTGAGCAGCCTTTGTTGGGGGGGGTGGAATTGGTCACATGGGAGCTGTCCCTGGGCCATGTAAGTAACTGAGCTTCCTCTGATGTCTTATTCTGAAGGCTGTGTTGGGGAAAGCCCTAGAGAGAAACCAGTGTCCTTTCACTGCTTCCCACATGGTTAAGTTGTAGAGTGAGCTGAGCTATGTTCTCTGTCACATCATGTGTTTCCCCTCGGGTCTGAAGGCCCCTACTGGAATGTGGAAGCACAGTGTCAATAAAGCAAACACAGCCATCAGCCAAGATGTTCTCATTTCCCTGGGGGAAAACAGAAGATGCCTTGGGTTATAACAGACACACAGCAAAAAAGTGCTGTGGAACTCCCCTGACTGATAACACCCTGGTATGGCAGCTATTTCTGAACAATGAGGCGTAGCCGAGCTCCATCCCTGAGCTCCTGACATCCTCCACACTCCTAACCTAACCAGCCAGGCGCCCCCTAGGGAGACAAGGAAGAACCGACCCAAGTTGATGGGTTCTTCCTTCCTTCCTCCATGTATGGTTGCAGTTACTGATATTGGTGGACAGTTTGGGTCTTAATTCAAATAATCAGAGCTGCAGACCTCAGCTTTAATTAGATTTATTAGAGTGAGGGAAGCATCCTAAAAGCCAGATCTAAGAAAGCAGAAACAGGTGACTGTCATCAGATAGGAGTCCATGATCTATCTGCTCTCTCTCTCTCTTTTTTTTTTGATCAGGGACTCGCTCTGTCACCCAGGCTAGAGTGCAGTGACACAGTCATGAGTCACTGCAGCCTCAACCTCCTGAAGTCATATGATTCTTCTACCTCAGCCTCTTGAGTAGCTGGGACTACAGGTGTGCACCACCATGCCTGGCTAATTTTTTTATTTTTATTTTTGGTAGAGATGAGGTCTTATTATGTTGCCCACGCTGGTCTCAAACTCCTGGACTCAAGCAATCCTCTTACCTTGGCCTCCAAAAAATACTGGGATTACAGGTGTAACCCGTCCCCATTTTCTCTTTTGGTAAGAATAAATCAAGTCCCTCCTCTGTGCAAATCCTGTGTTAGATGCTGTGGGTACAAGGAAAGCAAGGAGTTTAGAATCTATGGAAGATGCAACCAGGTAAATGGGTATCCTCTGTGT